TGTTAACTCTACCCTCCCTTATATTACTGTATTGCCTGATGATGAATTAATCCAAAACGTTCGTTCGCTTAACTTGACTTCCTTAATGCCAGTTGTTTAATGAGTTGTTTTCGTACCGCTTAGAATATGTATATATTTTAAAGAAATGCATTTAACTCATTGCTTTTGACGGCCTTTACAAAGTCAAATATATTTTAAAGAAAACATCCACAAAATTGTGTTTTCTTGTAGGCATTCAGTTGTAAATTACGGCTGAAAGAAGGGTGTATTTCGATTTTCAAAAATGCTATTTAAGTGATACAGGGTGTCCCAAAATGTATACTTATTTTAAATAGTTGTTATCTTGGTGTTTATTATAATTTTATTATTTAAAAATTAAAATTATTTTACAAGTATAATTTTATTGTTTTTTCCACTGTATTTTGACTATTGCAACAGTGGCTGACTTGAGGGCAGCCCGTGAACATGAATGTACCCAAATACCAAAGGAAGTGTTTCATGGTTTGTGCGATTCCATTGCTTTGTGTTTTCAGCAGTGTCATGATCAAAATTGACGTCAGTTTGAGACTATTTAGTGAAATATAAAATAAAAGGATACTTTTAAATACGTTTACGCTTTTGAAATAATACAATTATGACAGACGTCAATGTTTTACAACTATCTAAAATGTGTACACCTTTTTTCGGACACCCTGCATTTTACGATTTTGAAGTGTTCATATATAATATGTCGTTACCGTAGATTTATTAATGTTGCCTATAGCATATACAGTTTGATTCCCATCTACTGCACATTTTTAATGGAAAGTATGTTACATCTTCCTCACACTGTAGTGAGAAACGTAATTTTCCTTACAGAGGATGAACACAGCATGCAGTTTGGAAATCTTGAATTCAGTTGTAACTGTCGTTTACTTTAAAAACTCTTTGAAAGTTAGAAAATCTTTACAATTCAAATATACCCTTCTTTTAAGTATAATATTTGAAGATGGCCTAATTTGCTACCAAACGCGTCAAAGAACAAATAGTCTTGTGAATGCTTTTTATGTAGAATATATTTTAATTTATGAGGCAGTCAAAATGAATGATGTAGGTGCATGCTACAGAAGCAGCCATTTTTCACAGAAGACGATTATTCTGAGTAGGCAGAAATAAACTCTTTAAAAATCCGGCATCCTGAAGTGAGATTGGGCTGCAGAATAATCAGTGTTTTGACCCTTATTAATGCCGTTTTGCGAGCAGTTTTCAGTCTTTTGTAAATTTCAGAATTTTGCATGAAATATGTACCTGTCGTAATATATTTTAGTGCACCTACCTTTTCTTCCGTTTCGCGACTAAATTTCAGAATTTGGATCAAAATGCCAGGAGCTAGGGCTCTAACACTGACCCTTGGACCCGTTTTCCAAGCTATTCGAATTTAAACTGTCCATCCCTGTATTTAGGTTGTGCACGGACCAGGTTATGAGAACCGTTCAATATATAACCCTCCCAAGCATACACGCTTAGCGACCAGTACTATGTGTAGATAAAGAAAACCGAGACTTCCTTGTCAGTTACCAATTGTACCTCAGGTGAATCAGGTAAAAAGAGCTGTTCGCAGTATTCCATAGCCTCTGAAGATGAGTAATCGACTTTGTTGCTACTGTAAACGTCCGTACTCCAGTGGGCATCACCTGGTGAACTGTTGTCTACTTTTTGGCATTAAGTTGAATTTACATACCATGAAAACAGATGGAAATGCAGATTTCTGAAAAAAAAAACACTCGATAGCACACCAAACCGGTTAGAATGTTGGACTGCTAATTATTCGGGCCCCATTTTGCCTGATTGTATTTACTTTGTAGGCGTTTATGATGCCAGATTTTCTCGCAAAAATAGTCAGTTCTTCCTGGATATTTTCAAGTGACTAGAACCATGTTTAATTAGAAGCGAGAGCTTTCGAATGCAAGAACCTGACTAGGAGTGGTGATCCCGCTAATGCCTAGACTTCTAGCCGCAGTGCTACGTCTGCCGTCGTGGGCGCGAGGAATGAGGCCGAAGTCAGAGCGGGATGGGTGAGTTCTGTAAGCGATCGGTGAACATTCGTCAACGAGTGTCAAATGGAGCCATATTCAGTCAGAAGCTAGAATGCAAATACGAAGGCCTCAATAGAGATAGTATCTCTACTGATGAACTTCATACATTCCCCTAAACAAATATTTCTTTTTGGAAGCATTTCTCGCTGAAATGATCGCCCATTTTTTTCATGACTTCCGACGCATATCATAAATAAACTTCAGCGTTTCCCCTACCCCTTTAAATAGGTTCTATTTTTTCTTCTTCCTAAGGTCCAACAGGCACAGGAGTGTATTGAGCAGTTGCTGGAGAACGTGAAAGTTATACAGGAAGAACGGGACCAAGCCCTGGCTAAATTGAGCGCCCTCTTGGATGACAACGGTGCTAGTAAAACATCACCGGTTCTAAATCAGGTAATTACGTAGACATTCAGTGCATTTCAATTGGCTTACACAACGATTTATTACTTAAATGATGTCACTGGTATTCAAAACAGTAGACTACTAATTATTAATTATAAGAGAGAAAAACTGCCACGGTTAACTAAATAGCTGTGGGCTTTCTCACCGGAGTGCAACATAATGCAATCTTTGCAAGTATTACAAAATGAAAAACAGGATAATAAATCATGCATTGTCCCGGCACTCCGATGCACCCAACTCTTTCAGTTATCAGAACTGTCCCTTTTTAAGCGAAATGCTTTAAATTAATGATACTTTCGCAGCAATAATCATCTAGCTTTTATCTGAAGGAAATGGAAATCGGCCTGGTTTGGAAGGCGTAAACATATTTAGGCGAGTAGAGAACCCTTAATGAATTTATCGCACGCGTTCTGGCTACTTATTTATGCGCAGTAGTTTGATTTGTTAAATTTTTAAAATACAAACCACGTTAGCCAGTGTTCATACTCCTAAATAAAGTACAGATCTGCGATTGCTGCAAGCAAATTTCCTAAATTTGTAAATGTTTGATTATTTCTCCCATACCAGCAGGAACGCATTAGCAAAAACTTATAAATAATAATAAGCAACATTAGGCATATTAAGTACTTCAAACAACTACAAGAAGTACTAAGTGTTTGCTAAGAAAAATAAAATTTTATCGATGATTCCCAGCTTGTGGAGACGTCAAAAATAGCTATAAATCAGAACAATAAATTTAAATATTTTGTTAAGTATAACACTTAAAGTAACCACTTTCTTTATACAAAGAGAACTTGCCTTTAATCAAAATATTTTTGTATATTTGAGAAATATTACATGCGCAGTTATTGAATATCGTTGAATAAATTCTCTCTTCATTTGTATTTTTTGGTGTATTTATTCATACGTTTACTAATTGTCCGTTTGTTCGACGTTTGCATCCAACCCTTTAAAATAAGATATAACTAAACAGCATGTACCGAAAAAACGAGCTTTTGGATATTATCTCCTATGCAGATGGTGATGTTGGTCAAATTTGGCAATGCTTCAAAACAGCAAACCACATTTTCGAGCATAAAACATGTCTGCTAGATACCACGAATATTGTTATTCCTAAGATTATAAAAAAGTTTCCATGATGGGTTACCTCTTTAAAAAGTGCATTTATTGGATATATAGCTGACGAACTTCTGCGTATAGTTACTTTTTCCAACATAATCTCACAGGGAAATTGGAGATGTTTGACAATTTCTTTAAATTGTCTGAAGGAAAACGACTAAATTTGACTGGAGATGAAAGAACATACTTTTTTCTGTATAACGGATTATTTTTCACTTAAGGTGATTTATAACAAGATCCGTATTATACGTGCGAACGCAAAAAAACAAGCCACGTATATGACAATTTTTCGCAATACTTATTAATCTTCTGTCTGTTCCGTTTCCAAACAATGTTTGAGCGAAACCTCTTGTTTACAAAAGCTATATTTCTTCATGACTTACATTCAATAAGGCCTTCTATTGGCCGTCTGCGCGGTTACATATGGAAACTTTGTTTACGCGCATGACCAGCTGTGCGGTAAAAGATAATGTTCTACCAAGAACTTTTTGTTACTGCAGTTTTTGCAAAAAAACTTCACAGAATAGCTTAATTTAATTTTTTAAACTTCCATTGCTGCTTGTTTCTGAAAATATATGCGATTCCTTAAACTTCACTTTAGTTCCATTTGATCAACTTCGCACACAATTTCCCAGTACTGGAAGGGATTATTATTCCACCGTTTTTTACTAATTATGGAATTCTTCCACAGCACAATGTATATTAGAAGAAAGGTTTCGTTCGGTCTTTCCTTATAGCATACGGAATTCCTTTTATGTAAACATACTCATGATTTAGCTAAAATGAGAGCCTATTTCCCCATTAGCTTTAAGTAAGAGGGCAGTTTTCCAAACCAAAGCCCTTCTTATTATTAAATC